TAATACCTAGCCCGACCCGAGAAACAAATGAGAGACCTCCTGCTCAATTGTCAAACTTCCAACCTCTCGATCAACGAGACAGTCTTTTATACAATATTTCACAATGACATTCTTCGATTCAGAAATTAATGTATAAACGTACTGAACTATAAAACACGATAAACGGAATGAGTTTAACCCTCCGGGAGTGCCACATACCAGGGGAATACATTTAATTTAGCACGTCAGTGAATTATTGCAGTTTGTATGAACGCGGTGACAGCTAGACAAGTTTTCTTAGCACTTTTATTATAGACTAGTATATGACTATAGTATGTGGGACTTTGTCGTTCAAAAAGTAACCTTAATTACGCCTAAGCAGCTACCTGTTATTAAAATTCCTGTCCAAATCGGTGCTGCATTTTCAAAGATTAGTCAGAACAAAAAAACATACAGAAAAAAAATTAAAAAAAATCTTTTGGTATTTTTATCGTTTGTATATTCATATATATGTAGTAAAAAGCGGTTATTTCAATATTATAATCAGACTCTTCAGTTTAATTTATTTCTATATAAAAAAAATGAAACCTGTTTCTTGTTGTCACGCCATAACTTGAGAACGGCTGGACCGATTTGGCAGTTGGAGGTTCTTATGATAGAAAAAAAAATCTGAAAATTATGGGAACGGGAGAATACGGGATTGCGCATACGAAGTCGCGGGCATAAGCTAGTGCATAGATAAATATTATAATATTCATTGTACACCATTCATAATACAATCATTATAGTTATCCTGCGTTGTAGAATGGTAGCATCTATGAATGGTTGAGAGCCTTGTATCAGGCAAAATATAGGTAATGGAATATTTTATTTTGAGATAGGAAGACAAAAGGATTGCAAGGAGGTTTCACGGGCTTGTATGTGTGAAAAGATCGATCAATGAAGATAACGAGGTAACTAGGAATACTCAATGAGAGATAAGTGTGAGATGATAGTGCTAGATACTAAATTAATCTATATATATACAAAAATGAAACCAGTTTCCCGTTGTCACGCCATAACTTGAAAATGGCTGGTCCGATTTGACTGATTTCAAGGAGAAGTTCTTATGATAGAAAAAAATCCTGAAAATCTTATGGGAACGGGAGAAAATGGGATTGCGCGTACAAAGTCGCGAGCAGAAGCTAGTTATATATGTTTGTATATAGAAGAAATTACGAAAAACTTTTATTTTACACGCAAACAAGTGACATGTACAAATTATACACGATTATAAAGATTAGATTATGAGTATTTATAGGTACTTGTTCATGTCCCAAGTCAACGGCGAAATGGGACCATTTCTGTGTGTGCAAGGATATATACAGGACCGAGCGCTGGTATCCAACTGGCCCCTTAAGTGACTCGTGGATGTACAAGCCACCAATTAAACATCAGTAATCTTAATTAATTAATTAACTACACAAACAAATAACAAAATTAATTAAATCAATTAAATGGAATTTGTTAACGACTTTATGTATCTTGGGTCTCTGATAACGAACCAGGGTGGAAGTGAGCAGGAGATCCGAAGAAGAACACAAATGGCCAAAACGGCAATGAGCAAAATGACACGTATATGGTAAAACAGAAAGATCTCCAACATCACCAAAAAGAGACTAGTTCAGACATTGGTCTTCCCTATCTTCCTCTATGGTGCAGAGAAATGGACTATTAGAGCCCTAGATCGCAAAAAGATATATGCTCTCGAAATGTGGTGTTGGCATAGAATGCACCGGATACCATGGACTGCCAGACGAACATATTAATCAATCCTAGAACAGCTCAGTATAAAGACTAGACTGTCGACCTTATGTTACCAGCGAAATCTTGGATATTTCAGTCACACTACCCACCGCCAGTCAGATAACCTCGACAATTTGGTTGTTGTTGGTATGGTGGAAAGAAAAAGACCACGTGGTTGATCACCTAGCTGATAGCGTGACCGAGTTACCAATTACACTGGACTCTCTGTTACGAAAACCCCGAGAAAAGCCGAAAACAGGACAAGATGGAGGGAAATAACACAGAGAGTAATGAACGCCTTTTAGGAGCACGACCTTCAGAAATGAAGCAAGCGATCGAGAAGAGAACAAAATTAATGAAATAAAATAGTATAGTACGTAAACAAATAAACTTCAAAAATGGGTTATACATAACCAAAGTTTCACCTTCAAAAAAGTTCTATTTTAAGAAATTATTCATAGATTCTTGAATCCTAAAAATAATTCAAACAACATTGGCGAAACAATAGTAATTTTCTTAAATAATGTTGGCATTAGATTTTCTTTTTAAAAATATTCCGTTATAAATCGGGGCTTATAAATCGCCATATGAATACTTGTTCAAAGCGAAACGATATCAAATAAAACGATTGTGTAAATATTTATGTCTGTTTTTTGACTTTGCAAGATGGCCACTAAATATTTTGTTACAGAGATCAAATATGATGAATCACACGTTAAGTTTGTTCTTGGTAAAATAGATATCTGGTTGACTATGGTTGGTAGTTACCATGCCAAAGGTTGCCCAAATCAAGTGCTGATTATAGAGGCTAGATGTGGCTTGAAACTTATCGATAAATCTCTTCGAGTACTTATCTGAGTGAGCCGTAGAAATTAAATAAAGTAAAAAACAGAATAACAGAAATGATTGTAAAAGTACTTTATTATTGAATTGAAAATCATTTAATAGTGGCCGTATGTCTACATATCAAATATATAATAATTGTATTAATATATAATGTTATTTAAGAATTATAGAATGAATGCGTAGAATAAAAGGTGATTGCTGATATTGTGCGTGTAACGGATATAAAACAGAACACCTATTGCAGAACAAAACATCAGCAATCCCAGTTTATGGTTACCTCCATTATTCTCAAGCACTCAAAGAGTCTTCAAAACAATCAGGCCCACCTATTTACGATCGCGTAAACCTCGATCCCGGAATAACATAAACAAATCGCGCGATAGAAATCTGTATCATAAAAAGCCTTATCTTAACATTTGCACGGAACATAGGAACAAATCTGGGATATTTGTAGCATACAAATAACCTAAAAGTCCGTTTGCGTCATAAAAGTCACATCTTTGTGAATAACGAGATAAGTTACAAAAAAGTTGTTTGCCCCCGGTTTTATGCTCGGCTACACTTTACCATAATATTTTATGGTAATTTTATTTGAACCAAACTGAACATGAACGCTTGCCGTGAACGTTTCGAAATGTTTGCGCCTGATATTTTCTGTTACGATTTTTAGTTGAAGATTTTTTTAATTGCGGATGGAAATGAAAAGAAAATAGTTAACGATAAACGACGAAACAAAACGATAAATCGTCATCATTTTTAAACCTTTAACTTATAAATCAAAATTTAGTAATAGGAAGGAAAAAGGAAGATAGTTTAAAATTGAACATAGTTGAAAAAGGAAATGAAAATAGCATTACAATCGTGCCCAACTGTTAGTTTTTGTTTGGTAACTATTGATGTTATGCTGTATTTAAAGTACTCACTTACGCTATTTAAATTCAAGAATTATTTCAGCAAACATTTGAATACTAAATCTTCGCGTCGAATAGTCAGCTGCACGTGGTTACACCCGACATCCGTAAGAATGTCGTGCGAACATTAGATCTCTAACACTCTCACCAGGAAAAATTAAAAATATTATTGTAATAGAAATTAAACATTTTCCCATTAATAAAAGAAATTGGTTATGTGAAGTAGGGATTGAATGTAATCATGCATACGGATGCGACTATCCGGTTATTGAAGGAAAGGTGATCAAGTCGATATGTTTATGTAAAACATATCGACTTGATCACAATGGCTTAGAATCCAGGGTACAGAGCAAACATTCAATTGTCGAATGTCGCCAGTAGTGCCCTGTGTAAACAGGGAGTAAACAATGGATCACGTAATGCGTCAGTGTGTCACTCGCCTAGATGGATATAAGAAAGAGTTTCCATTTTGCAACCGCACTATTATAGACATTTATTGGAATCGAGACGTGTTTCTGTAGAAAAAAATGACATTGACCCGCATTTTTTAAAATTCCCGGTCTCGTTTCTAGTGGATTTGGGATGACCCGAATTTTGGTGAAAGTGAAAACGTGATTTTTTTGAAAAATATTTTGGTAGAATTTTTATTTGTAGGTAAATGTAGATAGATTAGTGAAGTAATTCTAGAGAAACTAGTAATTTAAAACATAAGGTTTAATTATTACAAACCATGTACACTTGAAAACATTTTAGCAGGAGCACGGAGGAGCGTCTGGCGAGCGACTGTGAACAACACTGCGCGTTTTGTAAAACTCCGCGTAGTAACGAAGCTTGTTAGCGTACTTTAGTAAGAAGATTGTCTGCAGGAGCGAAGACACCTTCAGAACGAGAGAACAAATGGAACTAATGAGTTCCTTGTTGTTCTGTGCGCTAGTCGTACATTTGCCGCAAGCGTCAGGTGAGTTGTCACTTAAGAAATTATATGACTTAATTTATCGAAAATTTTTGAAATAAACGTTGATTTTATATCTGGTACATTCAAATTGTGTGCCATCAAATTCTACATGTAAAAGCATTTATTTAAAAAAATAAAAGGATTTGACTGAATGATAAGTTTATTCAATCGTATATTAATAACAGTGGTAATTCCAGCTAAATGAAGAGAAAAATAGCTAAAACCACTGATCTGCCATATGTGCAATATGTGTCTGCAACATGTGAATGCATTAATTTGCATAAAGGATTTGATGATTATTATAATTTAAGAGCATTTTTAAGCCATATTTTCCTTGTGTATAACTGCTAATAGTTTTATTTACAGCGGAAAAACGTAATGCAAGGCGGCTAAGACTAACAGATATAGATATAAAATATAACAACTCGATGATTATTAACCAAATGCTGATGCCAAAAAGGATTCTGCTAAACATCAACGGACCACCCTTGGTAAATATACTCAGTGACCTACAAATGGTTTTTATGGATGTGAAATGCAGAACATGTATCGATTGCATGGAACGAGCAATCAAAGCTTATAAGGCTCAATATCATATTATAAAATCTCGACCAAGACCGGACGAATTGCATGAAGATGTATTAAGGACTCGTTACACATATAGTGTCCGTAATAAGAGAGAAATAACAAAACCATTTGAAACGACACAACAACAAACAACCACTTCTAAACCTAAAAGAAGTAAGTCGAAGAAGAAAGCTACGAAATCGGTGACGGTAACAAAATACGTTGATGGAGAGGTTTACGCGCTAAAAGTTAAAGAAACAAATACGCAAGTAAACGTAGAACAAAATAACGTTACTCATGCGACAACTTGTCATATTTACAGTGTTAAGAAATCATATCCTTGCGACAGTCCAGAGTCTAATGCATTCTTGACTATCGCTAAAAGAAAGGTGAACAAGAAAATGAAGAAAGAAAAGGAGAGGCATAGATTAAATTCAATTATAACAACTACTTCTACTACAGAAAAGCCTCATTTTTTAGCTCCTGCATTTAGGAAACGTCATGTAGACAATTCGCAAGTTCCAGAAAATTTTATGCCTTCAATAGAGGAACTATATTAGCGCTGCTATTGCGTAGGTTAGTAGTGTAATTTTATTTATAATTTATTTATGTTCTGTTTTAGAAAACCATTAAAAGTTTTTCTCCTTGATTATACATTTTCTGTGTAATACAGAAAAGTCTAGTCAAAAACGTTTGTCTTTTCTCTTTGTATCTATATTCTTTTCATATCAGAATATTGTATTTTTCTTAGATAAGTTCCTGTTTTGAATTGTACTGTGTATAATTTAGTACATTCATTTCATTTTATCTCTCCATTGAGAAATAAAAACTGTATGATTAGATCAAGAAACACGAGTAGTATATATTCTTTGTAAATTGTATCTTAATATCAAATCATAAGGTATATTTTTAAGAGGTAAACAGTGTTTACTGAATAAAATTGTTGCCATCCATGTATCATGTTTCATTGTATTCGGGATTGAAGAATCTTATGTCTGTTTGTGTACCAGAAATCTATTTTCTATTTGTTTTATCGAAATCTGACAGCTGAAAGCAACTTTGTTGCTCTATGATTTTTATATCGTGAGATAAACTAAATTAACTAAAAATCGCGGGATACACACGGTAAGTAGGTTGCGAGAAATCGCCGCGACCGCACACGCTGCTCATGAAGAAGAACCCCTCTGTGGTTTGAAACTAGTAGAGCTTTTCTCAGTATATTCAAGTGAGTAACCCGCGATTTTTAGTTAATATAGGTATGACTTTTGTTAGAAAAAAATCTTATTAACAGTCAAAAATCTTTACTATGGTCATAATTGCGAAAGTGTATTTTTATTTGCCTTTGTTTACAACGGAATGATATCAAACAGCAGAGTGATACCAAAGTATGGTTTTCACATCTATAAAGATTATACATGTTACCTTTTTTCTTTTGCCCATGCGAGCAGATCCACGGGTAAAAGCTAGTAATTTATAAAGTAAGAATACAGTATCGAATATAGGTAGCATTCAAGTAACAGTATTAGATCAAATTAGTCACAATATGGAGGAAGCCTTGGCAAAAGGCAATTACTATTAATTTGACAAATTGATGGAGCGCACTGTAGGATTCACTTTGCTTTCAAAGCATAAATATAGTCAATTGTACACTAATTGAAACTGATATATGTAGTTAGATAAAGTATAAAACCATTGATTTAGTTTGTTGGTAGTCTTAGAATATTTTGGTTTAAATCTTATATTTAATAGGTTTTTTTAAGGGGGGAAAATCATCGAATGATCTTTTCCCGCTTGGGTGAGGCGGGAGGGAGTGTCAGACTCTTACTGACTAAAACCACCCCGTTCCTTCTCCTGCACGTCGAGCCGGAGCCCCGGTTACCTGGTTATTTAATAGGTTAGGGTTACAATTTGATAAAAATATCACTGTTCTATCATTTTATGGTGAAGGATGCATCGTGAGTGACTTCAAATTATAAGATTAAAATTGTCAATCCACCTTGAATAAGTGTGGTAATTGGTATTTAATTCTCATTCCTTCTTGGTAGTAGGAGATACCTTTGTCAGTACAGTGGTGGGATAGCCAAATGTTGGTGGTAAGTTAATAGACTGCTTAACGTAGTAAAATTATGCGTCTGTAGGAATAAGGCAGCTCGCTTGTCGTTATATGGCTTAGAAAAACTAGTCAAACAAATACTTTTAACAACTATATTACACGTAGTAGCAACACATTTTCGTCGTAGAAACAAAATAATTCTTAACACGAAGATAATCCGTATAACACAGAACACACACATGCACAGTGCACATCTGTCATGATATGAAGCGGTTGTTATTAGTGTGACACCGCAGATACCGGCTGTTCTAGTCTGTGGTTAAATTAATTATTACTGCGTCTGGCAATCATCCCTGATATAACTAATGCCACCTGCATATCTGAGTTGCAACCGCAACCACTTGGGATGTGCACTTGGAATACCAGTGAGTTCATATAGTTGGAACTTTCATAAGGTAATCTGTCTAAGTAGGTTTTGTACATTGTATCGTTGTACAGAATTATTTGTGTGTTTGTGTAAAATGTGTTGTACAAATAAGCGCATCCAGAAACAGCATTTCAGTACAAAAAAAGCAGATCCAACTAGAACACTCAAAGATAAGGAATTTTGAATGATTTTTCACCTCACTCTAGAGAAAACCTTATTATTACTGCATAAAATATAAATTCAGGACACGTATATCAATTACCTACCATGTTCAAAGAAGCAAACTCCATCATCGAAGCAGTCGCTTTTCATAAACAAATAGACACAAAAAGAAACATCCTTAAACACGTTCATCTCAATATTTATAAATGATAAAGTAGAAAATATTAAAATTGCATTAAACGTAAAACGATCGGGAGCAAACAACTAGCTGGGAAGTTGAACAAAAAGCGTTGGAAAAAGAGAAAGAATATAACGAGACGCGTATTTATATTACGCTCCGGTTATACCCCCGGGCATTACGAGGTTACATCATGCAGATTAGATGTCATGAGATAACGGGTGCATACTTTTTATTACAACCATCCCGTACTTTTGCATTTTTAAAGGCACGCCGTGAAAGTGGGAGTTAATTCCGTATATTTCAAACGTGTCCGGAAAAGTATTACGTATTTCAATTGTGTTAAAGTATTTTTTTGTTTGTAGGACTTTAGGTGTTTTAATTAGCTTAGCTTTTTAATTAGCTGCCGGTATTACAGAAGTCCCATTAAAATTGTCTTTCGACAAAAAACAGCGAATAAAATACCATTGTATCACGTAAAACTGTATTTTAATTGAACACCAAATAGACTACCCTGTTGGCCGAGTGGTCGCAAGTGCGACTGCCGGGCAAGGGATCTCGGATTCGATTCCCGGGTCGGGTAAAGTTTACTGGTCTCAGTAGTAGCACGGAGTCTGGAAATGTGCCCGGTATATGGCAATAGGCTCACCCCCTATTACATGGGACTCATAACATAAATGTGAAGTGGGTGTTACATTGTACGTTGGCATAATGTGCACCTCTGCCTACCCCTTCGGGGCTAAAAGGCGTGATGTTATGTTATATTACCAAATAGTAAGAATTAATCACACATCCCCAATTAACTAAAGTAAAAACATTAGGTACACAAACCCACACATTGCGTAAACGGCTAAACGCCTAAAAATATACGGGCGTACCCAAAACTAATCCAATTGGTGAGCATCAAAGTCATTAGGAACCGTTAATCTAACGCCTGTGGCATCAGAAAAGCCTTTGGATAAATAAACCTTCTAACTTAACACTAACATTGAGCAAGTTCGAACTCGTTAGAGAGTCTTTATCGAAAATAAAGTTTTTGCCCAAAAGAACAGAATGTGGGCAACCAAAGCGTTGATAACGCGAAACTTGTATGGAACGTGTATACGTGATCCTTTTGAAAAACTTTTCGTATTGTCGATGCGTGAAACGATTTCTATTAATTCTTTGAGACTGGACTTTGGGTTTTGGTGAACGTTGTCTATTGGATTTTATAAGGTTAAAGAATTTATGTTGAATAAGTTACCAATCAAAAAATAAAATGTGACATACATAACATCACGCCTTTTTATCCCCGAAGGGGTAGGCAGAGGTGCACATTTCGGCACTTAATGCCACTGTACAATGTAACACCCACTTTTCACTATTTGTGTTATGAGTCCCATGTAATAGGGGGTGAGCCTATTGCCATATACCGGGCACATTTTTCCAGACTCCGTGCTACTACTGAGATTTTTAAAAACCCAGTAATACTTTGCCCGACCCGGGAATCGAACCCGAGACTCCTTGCCTGGCAGTCGCACTTGCGACCACTCGGCCAATGAGGCAGTCAAAGGCTAAAAATGTGTAGCCTACAAAAAATTGTATTAAGAATTGTAATTGTGAAGGTAAGCACAGGAACCATCGATTCACTTCTTCCAGGAGCAAACTAACAAATATAGAGGTACATTCATAAATATAGGTACAAGCAAGTCTAACAACACAAATGTTTCTTTTTACATTAGTTTTTTCTAATTTTTTTTTAATTTCAACGATCATACACAAATGCGTGCACTGACCGCGATAACTTGGCGCCATGTCGTGATGTGCAAGAAAAGCAGCTAATAAAAGCACGTGATTGGTCAATCTGTATCAATGGCTGCCATTACGCCTTGTAATTAGTTCGTTTGTTTTATGAGCGCAAACTTTTTGAATGTTGTGTGCTATTTCGAATTTCGAATATTTGACTTGGTACTGGTATAAAAATAGAATGAACATTCTAAGTAATTTGAATTTGGAACTTTAGGTACAAATAAAAAAAAATGGTTTGGGAGTATGCATAGTGGGATTTTTCAATTTATAGTACCTCCCAACCTAAAATTTTATACGGTAATATTCATTCCTGTTATTTTAGATTTTGTACCAATATAAGTAAATATTGCTTTTTTTATTTATTTCAGAATTGATTAAAACAATTATTCCTGAAATAACGTAAATATGACGTAATGCATAAGCAAAAATCTAATAAATTCAGTAGTGTCCATTGAATCCGAAATATCACTTCCTAATATTACGCAACTAAAACAAAATGTACCCTACATGCATTTTATCTAACCAATAACTTAGGACTATTACATCTGTCGACATTATTTTCGTTGAACGTAATTTATGGGGAAATTGAAATGCATTGGGAAGGTAGAATAAATTTTATTAGATGGTAAATGGGACTATTTTGGTACTAACTATATATATTTGGAATTCTTAGTAGGTGATATGTTATTTTGTGTGATGACAATAGGCTAAGGGATAAGTACATTTGAGAAAGCCGCAGCGCTGCACTGTTCAGCTTATGCTGAACCGTTTAAATTACGATCTCTAACTCACCTATCAGAACTGGGTACTTACGGGGTGGTTTTTAGTCCGTAAGAGTCTGATACTCTTTTTTGCCTTACCCGGACAGGAGAAGTCATTCGATGATTATTCTCCCTAGAAAAAAAACACCTATCGATTATGAAGATTATGACAAATCCCTTTTTTGTTTATG